GCCTCCCCCCTGCTCCAGTCCCTGGCTGTCCCACAAGTCTTGCTCCAACTCCACCCACCATCTCAGCAGGCTTCTTCAGATCACCTTGAATACTGCTCAGCTTTCCTCCTGTCCCATTTCTAAACCCCTAAAACCTAAACTCCGCTCAGAATGGTCATCTCACCCTGCACACAGCAGCACGTCGCTTACCAAACTCTTTCCTAACCTGTAACACTAGTCACACAGACGGATTTCTCATCAAGGCATGAGCTCCCCAAGGGCTGTTTTGGACTGTGAATGCTACTTGGCATATAAGTAAATCCTTGATCACTAAATAGACCAATTTTTAAAAAGCAAACTAAGGCGAGGCCCTGGAACAAGGTCTGTACTGCAGAAGCAGCCGTGCACACCATACCTCCATGCGGATGAGTTCTGTAACTTGGGCTTGATGGAGAAAAAAGCTGCAGCTGGGCTGTGAAGACCCACACCACGCGAAAAATGTACTCTGTGAAGGGATGCAGGGCCCGTGCCACATAGGAGAGCCTGGACACCGTCTGCAGAACGTGAAGTCAACAGTCAGGATTTATCGGGCTGCCCCACACACCCAACCAAGAGCAGCTAACTGGTAGACAATGGGTGCCTTGGGTGCTCAGGGCCCTGGATCCTGCCGGGTGCGAAGGTCCCCTGACACTGTCTGCACAATTCACACACAAATTCTTCTTCAATAACTGGATTCAATTATCTGACACATATTTCAAGGTTTAACTACACTTTTTCTGTTAGTGGTCTTGTGTCTTGGGACAATTTTTTTCTGAACTTACTCACGCTTTCCTGAAAGGGACAACCCTCAATGACCAACCCAGCGGCCCTTCTAAACTGGAAAAATCTCGAGACCCTTCCTCCCGCCTCCTCTGTATCCCTCTTGGAACCTCTGGGGGAGGGGCGGGTAGACGGCACCACATGGGACAAGTGGGTGTGTGCAGCTGGGCCGCCAAGACTGCCTGTGTGCACGACTGGCTTTGCTCATAAGAAAGGTTTATGGAGCAGCAGAGTGAAAGTTCCTCAAATGTACATAAACACGCTTGAGTCTTTTCCAGGATACGCGTGTCTGTCGAAGCAGTCTCTCCTCCACCCTGAGGACATACTCCAAGACTGCGTTTGGTCCCTGACCCTTCAGACAGCTCTGAATCCTACATACAAGACTGTGGCAGTGACCTGCCAACCAGTGTGGCTAGTGAGTGACCAAAAGGTGGGCAGCATGTCCACGTGGATACACGGGACAAAGGCAAGACTCGGGGCCCAGGGGAACAGCGCGGCATGATGAAAAAGCGTATCGCGCTGCTCAGAACAGAAAGTAGTCTAAGAGTTACGAATTGTTTGCTTCTGAAATTTCCCATTAAACACTCTATGGTTGACAACAGGTAACTGAAAGTACAGAACCCAAAACCACAAAAAGAGGCCACTGTTAGTGCATGTCGTATTTGGGTACTCAGAACAATGCAGAGGGGGAATCTCTGTTACATGCAAATGCGGCTCTTCTCACCTCAGTGTAAGTCCAGCTCCCTGGAATTTGTGCGTATTTCCACTGGACGATGTATTTCACCTTAGAGATGTTGGCAGACTTCCATCTTAAAGAAATGCTATGGCTTGCAATGGCAGCAGCGAAGGGTGCGGTAGGGAGGTTGGTGTTTTCTGAGAAGAAAACAAGGCTTCGCTCAGCATGCACTCTATTGCAGAGTGTGCCTGCCCCCAAAAGGCCCTCAGTGTCCTCCTGCTGCAGGGGCCAGCTGAGCGATCCACGGTGCATGTGCCAGGTAGCTGTTTTACAGGTCTGCAGTGCGCCGTGTCCAGCACCGTCCAGGGTCTCTTAGGTGTTGCTTTCCCAGAGGCCAGGGGCACGTGTGCCCATACGGCTCTGGCTTAGAGCCCCCGCCCACGCCTCGTGTGCCCATAGGTGGGGCTTTTTCAGCAGTGGCTGGATCCAGTGGTTGTCACGCTGGGACTGTGTGGGTTGTGTGAGCACTACCTCTGTTCCCTGACTTGTTTGGCATCACCCAAATCCCTGTAGCCTAGATGGAGTGTAGAGGGGACAGAAGGAAGTTGCTGAGGTACCCGCTTGCTTGTTTTGCTGTCTTCTGCCAATCACGAGCTGATTTCTCCCCTAGATGCCCTTCTGCCCTGCCACCTGCCATGAATGGCCTGAAACATGAACAAACTGTGAGCCAACTAAATGTTTCTTCCATCAACTTCGGATGTCAGTTATTTTGTCTCAGGAATAAAAAAGTAATGAAGACAACACCAAAGCACATCTGCGCTACAGCAGAGTCACTCACTGCCCTGGGACGTGTACTGCAAGACAGATTTTGAGATTTTACACTATGATTCTTAATTTTGCCAACAATTGTTTTTTCTCTGTACAGACTTTACATTCCACTGTGTTTATAAGACTCTTCATGGCTTCTGAACATTGCAGACTTCACAGTTTGTGGCATACACTGAGAGCTACTTGCCAAGCATGATGCCTGAAGCCAGTTTTCTGCATGCCATATATCACTGGGAAGAAACTGATTTATTTCACTTTTTCTAAAATGTGATGGATTTAATACTTTGGCTTCTCCCCTCCCCCACTGGCTTTGATAGAAAAAGTAACTCTGACTTGGATTGCAAAAGCATGGTAGATTTGGCAGGCAGATTGAACTGCCCAAAATCAAGCTGCCAGGATCTCACACTAGGCCCACACTCCGTTCGTGAAACAGCAGCCCCCGACGTTGAGTCGGCTCGGGCCGCACACTGCCCCTCACTGCACAGAGGGCGTGCAGCCTGCGGACCCACAGCAAGCCCCCTCGTCACGTTGCTGCCACAGCAGCACTCGCGGGCGCGGAGGTCCCTGCGGTCCTCACCCAGCATCTCCTCCTCGTAGGCGCCTTCTGCGCTGCTGCAGCCCACTTCACAGGCCTCGCGCTGTGGAGACAGAGATGCGTGAGGCGGCCTCCTGCGAGCCATGGACAAGCTCCCAGGGACCCTGAAACACGAATACTTGATAAAACGTGTACCTTGTGTGTCTGATTTATTCCACTTAATATCGTGGCCTCGCATGGCACCCATTTTCACCAAAATGCACAGTAAAAACAGGTAAAGAACAAAATGAAAGCTAGATACTAGAATAGGAAGCTGATCTCCTGCAAACGGGGAGGGATTCAGAGGAGGAGAGGGGCAGGGACATAAAAGGACGGAGACCAGCTCCCCACAGTGAGCGTGGCCACCTCCTCCACCCACATACTGATGAAAACAAAAGCTGAACACGCGCTACCTTTACATTGATATTTTGGCTGAAATATTTACAGTTCCACTTGGTGGGATGAGACCAGTGCTTCCCAAATTCTTTTTGCCTATATTCCATAGAAAAAAAAATAACAATCTAGTACATACATATATATTGGGGGAAAAAAGATTCTTGGAACAATATTTGCGTCCCCCACTGGAGCAGTTTTGTTGTGATATATTCATACACCCTAAAACACAGGTACAGCCAGGTATCCTGACAGACACCTGCAATCTCAGCATTTGGGAAGCTGAGGCAAGAGGGTCTCCATGTGTTGGAGGCCAGGCTGCACTACATGGTGAGCCTGTATGAAGAAAACAGAACAGTTTCAGTGGGCTTTAGTCTATTTATAAAACTGCAAGCAGTGTGGCCTCAGGGCCCTTTCATTACCCCAAAATAAAGCCTGCGACCCGATGCTCTCAGGTGTCCAACTCCGCCCCGTTTCCTGTGATCCTTGTCTCTTGGTGGCTCTCTGACAAGTCACCGCCTCCAGCTTGAAGAGTGCTGAGCTTAACAACACACTTGCATCTCTGCCATTCTGACCAATGCTTCCATTGGCCAGAAACCTGGACTTCCCACCTAACGTGAAGCTCAGGGGTGGCCTGCTTATTGTGCTATCCACGTCTTCTTTGGAAAATTAAAGAGTGGCTCTCAATTTTTACAATAGCTAAACAGCTTCATGGATGTCTTAATAGCAAAGCTGAATTTTAAGATTTAGGAAAGTCTAGTGATGAAGCCTTTCAGGTCTTTTTTTTTTTTTTTTTTTAATCTCAATCAGGTGAGAACTTTGTCTAGTGAAGTGTGGGATGAATTTTCTCATCTACTGAGTCTTAGCCCAGCCCACCGTGCCCATTCCCAAGGAAAAGCCCACAGGGCAGGGTGCCACAGACCACCGAGAAAAGTTTCAACTCAATTTATGATCTTATTTTTGCTATTAAGAATGTTCTTGTTTTAGTCAATATTTTATTTGATTTTATTGGGAAAGGAGAAAGGAAACAGAAGAAAGGGATAGAAAGTATATATGCTTACACACAGGATAGCTTGGATAATTTTACTACTGGTTTTTACTGGCCTATTGAAAGGAAAAGTTAATGGTTAATTTTTTTTTCTCTTTTTTAATTTCTTGACCAATTTTGCATGCTTGTATCTGGTAATCTGAACAACTAATTTGAAAACAATAATATACAATATAACAGCAATTGTTGAATTCTTATCATTTTGCTTAGTGAAATTCTGTATCATTTCTAATTTTTTTAACTTTTTTTCTCTTTTAAAATTTTTTAAAAAGAATTTTTTGCTCTAGTAATGGCTGATGATGTGTGTTCCTTCCCCAAGTGAGGAAATGGAGCTCTCTCCTCTGTGTCCAGAACATTCAAACTGAACACAGGATAGCTCTGAAGGTGAGAAGTAATGTAGTGTCTTTATGTCACCTGCTGTCAAATCACCTAATTCTGAGGGGACAGAACACAGGAGAGGACAGATGCAGTTGAAGACCAAGCAGAGAAAGCACAAATTCTCGGGCTTATTGGGAAGAGGAGAAGCCAGGAGAGGAGAGGAAGGGAGAGGGGGCCAAGGAGGCCGTGACAGGAACCAGCACAGGAGTGACGCGCTGGTCCTGCAGCCCAGGAAAACTGATTCAAGTGCTAGCAATGACTGTGTTGAAAAGTGAAGGAAACTTAGTTTTCATGAACTGCACTGGAGGATGTGGCTGCTCAAGGCAGCCCGGATGTGTACTTCAGTGTCCCCTCCCTTGCCCAGGCTCCAGGGTATATATTTCAAGCACATTAGAAGCATACAAAGTCGCTCCTTGACTGAACACTTACAGACACTGCTCTTATTCTAATGGCCTAAAGACCACATCAGCTATCTTCCTTGTGCTGTATCAGGAATTGTGAGCAATCTGCAGGTGAGCTGAGGTGTACAGAGGATGTGCACAGGTAAGTACTGTGTCAGATTATGGAAGGAACCTGAACGTCGAGGACTTCAGCACCCGCGGGGTTCCTAGAACCAGTCCCTGCAGAAACCCAGAAGGACTACCCGTGCGTACGTGAGAATGTGTGTACACACACGCATATCCGGCTACATTCGCCTATGGGTACGCAGACACACAAAGCTGCCGTGTTCACTCCATGAGTGCAATCAGCCACCTTTGGTACCCAGAGCAACAGCTCTGTCAGGAAGGAAGGCTGTGCACGAGAACAAACGCATGGGATAAAAACCGTACGTGGGTTTGATGGCACACTTTAAGTAATTATCAACTCACCTCACAAACAGCAGCATAAGAATCATTCTGCACAGGAAAAAAAGGAAAAGCAAATGACTCAAAATCTTGAAAGTTGTAAGTAAAGTACAGTTAGCTGTAGGTTTCTTCCAAATTAACTTTTTGCCCCAAGGCTGACAAGCAACCAAACAAAATACAAGCAAAATGTCACCTCTGGTAGCCACTATGTGAATCGCTGCGACCTGCGTTTGCATCCCTGGGCAGCACAGTGGGCAGGACGTGTGCTAGAGTCGTAGCCGAACAACAGGGAAGCTGTGACGTCCACATGAGGGGCAGAAGTGTCCCAAGAAGGCACAGGGACACAGACTGAAGTGGAAGCCAGCCGTGGGTCCGCCTGCAAAGGCCAGTGGGCTCCCTGGCCTGACTGGCTCCGAGCATCCACACTGCTTCCTGGACTGCTGCCCAACAAGGAGCGAATACCTCTTGCCCACTTCCTGTCCACTCACAGCCAAGTGCTGCTGGGAGCTCTCCCTGTGGGCAGGGCACGGAGCAGCCTGAGAACCGCAGAGTATTCTGCCCACTGGCGTAAAAGAAGCCACATGTACAAGTGGACAAGTAATTCAGCTGCCATCAGTGAGGAGTGCGCAGCGATCACTAAGCTCAGATGTGAGATATTCGTCCATTCACAATTCCTGTGGGCACACAGCCACAAGTGTGGGCATGGGCATAAGCACGTCTGGGAATCAAGGAGGCAGGGCACCCTGCACAAGAGAACCCATGAGGAACGTAAATAAAAAGAGGTTAATGTCTCTGCTTAAACACCAGTATTGGGGCTGGTGAGATGGCTCAGTGGTCTAAAGCACCTACTTAGAACAAGCTCAACAAAGCACAGGGACCGCGGTTCAATCCCCCAGCACCACATGCCAGCCAGCCCCGCCCCCTAGTGGGCTGAGCTGGCGCCACACACACACACACACAAATAAATAAAATTTAAAAAAAAAAAAAACACCATTATTGTAGGGCTAGCAATATAGCTCAGCAGACTAAGAGCCTGTTTAGGCAAGCACAGGGACTGAGGTTCGATCCCCAGTACCGCATGCTGTGCCGGCCCTGCCCCCACAGGAGAATGACTGAGTCCAAGCTGCAGAGTGAAACCCTGTACCAAATACATAAAAAAAATAAATAAATACCAGTATTGTAATTTTATTCCATAATAGAAAATATTACAATTACCCTACACTGCCACTATCTACGGGCTTACCCTCTTGCCCAAATAAGCAAACAAACAAAAAAAAAACCACTTTGAAGTGCAAAATTCTTCTCCATAACATCAGAATACTTACCAATGTCTCAAGACTATCATTACATGGAGATTCTAATATTTTTCTAGTTTACTGACAAGAGAGTAGTGATTCAAGGGATTAAGTACTGTAATTAAGTTACATATTAAGTGGCAAAGCTGGACTAAATTAAAAATAAAAACTAACCTGAAATCAATTTTCTTACATACACTAGAGTCGGCTGACTACCTCTGGATTCAATGCTACCATTCTCCCTGCAAAAGACCTTGAACGTGACCCAGTGCTCGCTGCGGGAAGAGTGGCGGGGGAGCAGGGCAGAGCCTCCAGGGGCTGCTGCAGGGCAGAGCCTCAGCCCCATGCCAGACCACAGCTCTCCGCATCTCAGAGAACTGTACATCAAGAACTGACATGAGCCCAGGAAGGCTGCGAAGCTCCCCACGTGCTACTGGACAAGCCTCACGGTCTCAGAGCTCCAGGCGCCTCCGGAGCCCCTGGACAGTTTCGCCCTTCCCTGGCCCCGCTGCATGGCTGATGCCAGTCTAGTGTTCTCCACCCACATGGATGGCTCGGGCTTGCCCATGTTCCCTTTAGTGTCAAGTAAACTGGCAGAAAGCCAACAGAATGCAAGGAGCAGTCCTCTCAGAGGCTCTCCTACACAGGGAAGCAAGCCTACCAACAACGAATCACACACCGTACTCACACACTGGACTGCACAGCTTTCCTGGTCGGTAGAGCGCCAAAAGCGGCATCCTTGGATACACTACAAGATACAGCAACAGACAAGAGGGATGAAAAATGCAACTGTTCTTGTCACAGAAAGGTGCAGACTGACAAAAAGTATCAACTTGTGTTTCAGAAATAGAAACCCACCAGAAACCCACCAGAGACCACAGCTTCGTGGGTGTCAGCAGCACGGCCCTAACTGCGGGTGGACCAGAAGGCGGAGCGGCTTCCAGCTGCGAAGCAGGGCGCTGAGCGGAGTTAAGCTTTGTGCAGCCCGGAGAGCGCCCAGCCTGGGCACACGCTGTCTCCCGGGCAGCAGGCAGCAGCCAACTCCAGACGGCACTGAGTGTGCGCCCGGCCTCAGGCCCTGCTCACTACCAGCCCCGCCCAACCCCAACAGGTGGACCACATGGGAAGCCTGCTGCCTGCCGGCCGGGAGCACCCGGAGTGAGCCCCTGTTGGATGACTCGGCACTCTTCTTACTGACTGGCCCAGGCCTTGAATGTCACAACCACTCCTTCCCCAGGCCACACAGAATTACCCTAGATCTGTGGCTGAGGCTGGGCTTCTTCCCGAGTTCCAGACCCAGACAGGCTAGGCGTCTCCTCCTATACCGGCAACTCCAACTTCACACATGCAGCATGAGCTCCACACTCCCCCTCCATGCTCTTTCTCCTGTGGCCCCCGTCACTGTGCTACAACCTTCTGAGCTTCCTGTCCTCCTCCCACCTCCTGCCCCCAAGGGCCAGCCCTCTCCAAGCCCTGCTGACCCCTGGGGTCCACCCTGGGTCCTCCCTCGCTGCCTGGACTTCCGTGCCCTGCCATCTGCCTACAGCCTCATGCAGGATCCTCTTGTCTTATCATCTTTGCAAAACCAAACGTGTCTACACCCTCCTCTTACCTAAACTCTCTCAACTCTTCATCTTCTTGTGGACTGAGGCTGAGTGGCTGAGCACAGAGACAGAACTAGAACTCCCAGCTCCCCAGCTGCCAGCCTCAGCCTCTCCCTCCCTCTCCACGCACACACCTGTTTTCACAGCAAACTGAAATACACTGTCTCCCCTGAGCCAGGCAGGCGGCCTAACACGCTTGTGTCTTGATGCAGGAGCCCGCCTGCTGGTGGGCCTACACTTCCTGCTTCCCTAGAAGACTCTCCCTCTTTCAGGTTTCAGTTCAGAGGCCCTTCAAACAATGAGGTGTTTTTTGTCCTGTGTCTCCTCCACCTACACACCACCACCTGGTTCTCAGGGCGCTGCATGGCCCAGATTTCATGTATGTGTCTGAAAGCTTGAGAGACCTTTTAAACAGAGACACTATTTTGTTTGTAGATCTCTAGTGCCCAGTACAGTGCCTGGTTCAAACTGATACCTTGAGTCACCAAACACATTAAGAAATGAATACATGTGCAAAAAAGGAAAGGGGCAGGGGAGACAGCTCAGCAGCATAAGCACCTGCCTGGCAAGTGCAAGGTCCAGAGTTCAATCTCCAGTACCAAAACAAACAAACAAAAATAAATAAAACCATAAACTGCAACTATTCCAAGAAACGTAAGAGACTATCCATCCCAACCCTCTTCGATCACATACAGTAAAATACAGCCTCAGAAAAGTAATTCATCCAAAGCCACATGGCTATGTAGAGTAAAAACGGGCTGGGATTGGTTCTGTGCCTTTTCTACTTCAGTACACTTCGTTTTTTAAAAAAATCTCATAATCCAGACTTCTCTGCTTTTTTGATTGATCTTTTGTCCAGCAGAAATGAGTGAGATTTTACATGGCAATTATTCTTATTATAACGAACTGACCATTGTTCCTTTCTCTTTTTTTCTTTCTCTTTCTTTCTTTGTACCAGGAATCAAATGCAGGACTTCACACTTGCCAGACAGGTGCTGTGCCACTGAATTATATCCCCAGTCCCACTGTTCTTTTTCTCAAAGATTGACCGATTTGGTTGATTCGGTACAGGATCCTGCTACACAGCTCAGACTGATAGTGACCTTCCTGTCTCAGCCTCCCCAGCACAGGGATTAGAGGCGTGTGCCACCACCCCCAGTTTCAGTGGCCAGCCCGGCACAGGGCTAGCATGGCATGCTTTACCACACAGCACAAGGCACCGGTGATCAAAGCCGAGTCCTTGCGCTTGCCAGGCAGGCGCTTAGACCGCTAAGCTATCTCCCCAGCCCTGATTGTCCCTTTTTAATCAACACAAATGCTGTAAAGTTCTTGACAGTGAAGCAGTCACTCACCGGTCCACTCAGATTGTGTGGGGTGCCAAGGTCAGGCTGCTCACCCTGAAAAGAAGGGGGTAATAAAAAGAAGCTATTGATATCAGTAACTACCATACCTTTCGTAAAAGCTCCCTGGATTAGTGCTACCTCCTCTTTCTTTGCTAGCAGTGAAGAAGCTCAATGTTCTAAAATCACTAAGTCCATCATGAAAGTGGACGAAATGCTGGTACAAATTACAGAGGCAACCCTAAGGATTTGCAGGGGCAACGAAGACAGGCTTAGGACCAATAGATTTAAGAGTGGTGGAGGTTGATGGGGAGCATCTCCTACCGAGTTAGATAAATCTATGGACAGACTGATTAATTAGGAGCTCTCCTGGATTAGAGATGAACTGGTCTACAGGTTTCTTTCTTACAGCTACTCTTAAAGAGCAGAATGTTGGACACGTGTATAACTAAACACACAAACGCTCTGCTATTCCTCACATATTTGCAAATTTTAACAAGTTTTTGTAGTGGGAGAAAATAAGAAGGAACTGAAGGAGGAAGTCTTTAGATTGCTCAGCCTCCCTCCAGTCCTCGTTTGTAAGAAGTCCTCCTACCAGGCCCACAGCAACACCTGAACCTCTCCCAGAGGTCAGTCCTCAGTCCTTCTGCCACTAGAAGCCCAGCCCTGGAGGCAAGGTCAGGCCCAGGAGGGCAGTAAAGCCCGGATGAGGCTCGCAGCTGGAATCCAGGTGTGGGTCCGGCCAGGCAGCCCGAGCTTTTCAAAGGAGAAAGGGAAGCTCACCAAGGAACCCCCCTCGCTCTCTGTGCTTTGCTCTGTCGCCCCAGGCTCCAGAACAGTGCCTGGTGGGTGCGGAGTGGTCCACCCCCTCACAAAGGCCTGATCCGTGGGGGCTGCCTCTCATTTAGGGGGATGAGGATGACTCAACGCCTAGGCCCGGTGGCGCAAGGTGTCTGGGGAGGCTGAGGTCGAGGATCACAAAGCCCATTCCCAGCACAGGCACTTTAGGACTTAACAAGCCCCTATCTCAAAACAAAAAAAGAGCTGGGGATGTAGGTCATGCTAAATCCCTGGATTCAGTCCCTAGTCAAAACAAACAAGCCTCTAATCCCTAACCATTTAACATTTGATTAACAAAATTACAGATTTTTTCAGGTAGAAACAACAAAATAATTATTTTGTTTTAGACGGTACATCTTTTAATTTGTAACCTAGAATTGATTAGGTCTGGTTTCCATGATTTTGCTCAAAATAAGGCTTAATTCCCCCATATCCAATTGCACTGACTTACACTCAGGTTAAAGACAGTGAATTCATAAATAAATGTTTCAAAAACGCGCGTGCACTCGTAAAAGCCAACAGTGAGGCTCAGCCACCGGCGGCGTCTGTGCGCTCCTTCGCCCAGGTGCTTCCGGAGGCCGCTCGGTCTGCGCGGTCCGGCCCTGCGCTGGGCTTCAAGCTGCCACCACCAGGCCTCTCCCTAGTCTCGGGGGAGTCACCCCAGAGCGGTGTGAACTGGTTCCCAGGGAGGTTTTATGAGCTCCCCTACTCTGCACTCGCTCCCCCTCGCCCTCGTAAGGCAAAGCTACTGCGCCCTGAACCAGCCCCACTTCAGGGTTCGCACGAAGCCGCGCGGCGTCGCACGCTCCTCGCAGGACAGCTGGCCGAGTGGGGGACATCTGGGCGCCTGCGCCGCGTCTGCTCTAACCCGAGCAAACCCACACTTTCCGCTGTGGGCTTCAGACCCGAGCGCACCCTGCTGCTCACCTTTAGTCCAGTTTCTCCCTTACCTGTCTCCGAGAGTCCAACCCAGCTCTACGCGTCAGACCCTCGCACTGACGCCCATGTGCGGGCGCACGCGTCTGCCTGCGCACCTCCACCCGAGCTGACGCCCACGTGTGCGCGTGCACGTCCACCTGCGCACCTCCACCCGAGCTGACGCCCACGTGTGCGCGTGCAC